TTGGGAGAACAATATTTGGTATGGGATGCTTTAAGAGCAGAGGGCATTTGAGGGAGTCGGAGGAAAAGCTGCTTCTATGTCGCAGCAGGAGCGACACCGCTGGTCTGTCGCGACAGCCGGGATCCAAAACGCCTGCTCTGGATTTTTACAAAGCCAGGTGGGTTTTCCAGCGTCCTGACTGGTTACCCAAAGGGACGCGCTCTAGTATTCGGCTAAAGCGGTGAACCTGGGGGCGGGTTCTACCTCCTTCTACACCAATTGGAATGACGAAGGCCCTTAGCGAGAAGAGGCTGATTGGTCAGTTATAGGAGCCGCGCGCACGCCGCTCCTGGGGCGGAGCCTCCCACCGACCGGCAGGGGGCGCGCGCCTGACGAAGAGGCGACACTCGCATGGAGGGGGCGGAGGCCGAAGAGCAGGAGTGGGCCGCAGTGGCCCGGGACCTGCTGGCCCTGGGGTAAGGGGAGCCGAGTGTGGCTGGGGGTGCAGGAAGGGGCAGGTCTTCCCTCAGAAATTCTTACTAACCTCTCCCACACCCTCCCGCTCTTTCGGCGGCGCCGCAGGTATGAGGGTTGCCCGGGGGCGGCGTCGCCGGGCACCTCGTGCCCAGACTTCAGGGCGCTGTGCGCGCGGCTGGCGGCGGAGCTGGCGACTCTGGGTGCCCTGGAGCGGGAGCGAGAGGAGGGCACGGAGGCGTTGACCGCCGGCGACGGTACGCATGGAGGGAGGTCGGGAGGTTTGGAGCCTTGGGTGCCGCCGCCACGCCCTGACCATCTCCCGCCTCCAGTAGGTCCCGGCGCTGAGGAGGAATTCCTGCGGCAGTTGGCCGGCCTGTTGAGGGAGTTGCACTGCCCGGACCGCGAGCTCTGCGGCGGGGACTGCACGGCCTCACTGCGGGAACCCAACGCGCGCTTGCGCCTGCTGCGTGAGCTGGGGGGCGGGCCGGGATGCGGAAGTGGGCGAGGCTACAGCCTCTAGCTGGGCGGGCTCCGCACGTTGAGGTGGAGCCAGGATTCCCCCAGTCCCCAGGGGGCATGCTCAAAACTTTGAGGCGTTTGAGCGGGTGGGAGGCGGGTGGAGTAGAACACTGGGGCGGGCTAAGGGCTCTGAGGTGGGCGGGGTTAGGATTCTGATGGAGATTCTTGAAGCTCAGGTAAATTGGGTAACGGAGTCTGACAGGGTGGTTCCGAAGTGGGCAGGGTTTGAATTCTGTAGAAGGAGCTAGATCTCGAAGTGGGTGGAGCTTATCCTGGTGGTGGAGTCAGGGCTCTAGGTGGGTGGAACTAGGAGGCGGGAAGTTTCGAAGCCGCTTGAACTTTTCGCCCCGGGTAGGTGGGGTGGTGGCCCTCCTTGACTGCACTGCTCCTTTCCCCTACTTTTAGGCTTTCTCTGCTCTGAGGTCCAGGCCGCCCGCCTTCTCCGCCTGCGCTCCCGTCTGGATCCCAATCCTGAGCCATTCTGTGGGGAGGGGGCAGAGGAGGGACCTGACATGGTCCAGGAACTGATCCTTACTCTCCAAGCCCTGGGGCTGCCCAGACCCACGCGGGGGACCCCAGCCTGTCAGCTGCTTCGTGACTTGCATGCCAAGGTAGCCAGAGTTCCCTCCACACCGGGGCCACCCCACTTTCCTCGAAGGGGGAGAGCCCCCTCTCCAAAAGAGGCTCCAGGAGGAGTGCCACCCCCTCTGATGTTTTCATCAGCAGAATTGTGACTGCCATTCTTAGTTCTATGGCCGGAGTCCTCAGGGTCATAGGGAACTGGGGTTCACAGAGGAGTCTATCCGATTTCTGTGCAGTTAACTCTATCTTCCTCCTTCTCCCATCAGATCTCCGAGCTGCTGTCTTCCCTGCCCCCAGAGTACCTGCAGCCCCTCCTCAACCACCCACTGGACGCACCCAGATGGGTAAGGTTGTGTATGGCTTTAAGTGAAGAGTGTTCTCATCCAGAGATGGGAGTGAGGGCGACCCCTGGAGTGACTGAGACCTTTCCCCCCAGGAAGCGTTGGCGTCTCTGTCCCAAAGCCTGCGGGATCAGTACGGCTGCCGCCGTTGCCTCCTTCTCAAGCGCCTTGACCTCACCACATCTGCTTTCCACTGGAGTGATCGGGCTGAGGTGTGGGCAGAAGACCTAGGCGGGAGCAGTTGTGGGAGCTGCGGCTGCAGCGGGGAGGAAGGGAGGGCCAGGAATATGACCCTCTTGCTGATTCTGAGACTTAGGACATTTTAGAATCCTGTGAGGTTGGGGATCTGGAATCTGGGCCGCCAGGGCATTCTAGAATTTCCTGGTCTGAGCAGGGAGGGTATTTAGAGCAGCACTCCTTATTAAAAGATATGAGGGCCTTCCCTGGCAGCTCAGTGGTTAAGACTCTATGCTTCCCTTGCAGAGGGCAGGGATTCAATCCCTAGTTGGGGAGCTAGGATCCCTGGTGCTGCATGCTGTGTGGCATGCCTCCTCCCCAAAAAAACATACATAAAAGATGTAGGAAGCATATAACATTCTAAGTCAACTATACTTTGATAAAACAAACAAAAATCGTAATGAAATATTAAAAAAAAAAAAAAAGATGTGGGCCTGAGAAGGGAAGAGAGATGCTTTCAAGATTCAGGTCCCATCTGGGGAGGGCTCATGGGTATGTTCTCCCACTAACTTGTAGGCCCAAGGAGAGGCCATGAAGGCAGTACTGATCCCAATTCGAGAGGCTCTGACCTCAGAATCAGACGTCTCCATTGCACACGTCCTGGCTGCCCGAGCTGATCTGTCTCGCCTTGTCCAAGCCACTAGCAAGACTGCCCGCCGAGGGACTTCCTGTGCCATCAACAAGGTGAGCACCTGGGACTGGGGAAGGGCGCCAAACACCCTTGGCCTTCAAACTGGCCTTTCAGCTGCCTCTGCCCTGGACGAGCTTGTCCTCTCCTGCCTGGGCTGCTGCTCTGGCCTTCTCCTTAGGTTCCTGGCCTCTGGACTCACCACTCTATCCTTCCCTCTCCACATGGCATTTAGAAGGAACTTTCCAACTCAAAAATCTGACCATGTCCTTCCCCTTCTATGGCTCCCCAGTGCCCTTCAAAACAAAGTCCATCTCTTTACTGAATCCTTGCCCACCTCTCCTGCTTTGGTTTAAAATCCTCCCCATCACCTCAGTCTGTCTGTTGTTTTGGGTTTTAACCATTTTTATTTATTTATTTTTTAAAATTTTATTTATTTATTTATTTGGCTGCTCTGGGTCTTAGTTGTAGCATGTGGGATCTAGCTCCCTGACCAGGGATTGAATCTGGGCCCCCTGGACTGGGAGTTCAGAGTCTTAGCCACTGGACCACCAGGGAAGTCTCTTAACCATTTTTAAAAGCAAAACTACCCTCTGTTCAAATGATTAGGCTAAAATTTAGCCTCATACCTCTCTGTTTAAATAGTCTTATATGACCTGGGCTTCCTAGCGGGCACTAGTGGTAAAGAACCTGCCTGCAATGCAGGAGACATAAGAGACACAGGTTCAGTTCCTGGGTCAGGAAGATCTCCTGGAGGAAGGCATGGCAACCCACTCCAGTATTCTTGCCTGGAGAATCCCATGGACAGAGGAGCCTGGCGGGTTACAGTCCACAGGATCACAGAATTGGACCTGACTGAAACGACTGAGCACACATATGATTCTTAGGGCATAAAATCTAGCACAGCAAAAAGTGAAGCAAAATTTTAAGTTAAGAAAAAAAACCAAAACACTGATTTTCTGGAAATGTTATACAAAGCCCAAATATGAAACAGACAAAAGCTGAAGTGCCCTCATTCATATTTCTGGGGATGTGGACCTCTTATCATCACCCTCCCCTTTATTCCCCTTTTGCTGAGGCCCCTTGACTGAAAGCTCCAAGACTGTATCTCCCACCACGCAGCCCCCACCACTGTACCATGCAGCATGCAGGATCTTGGTTCTCCGACCAAGGATCAAACCTGTGCCCCCTTCATTGGGAGTGTGGAGTCTTAACTACTGGACTACCAGGGAAGTCCAAAAATCTGCCCTTCCCTTCCTGCTGTTCTCTTGGGTCTCTGGTCCCCTTGTTCAAGATGTTTTTCTTCTCTGAAACTCAAATCTAATCATCTCTCAGGTGCTTATGGGCAGCGTTCCAGACCGGGGGGGCCGCCCAAATGAGCTGGAGGCTCCCATGCCCAGCTGGCAGAGCAGAAGAGAGGACGGAGGCGGGCGGAAGGCAGGCCACCAGTGCTGGGGCCGCAAGAAGAAGAAGAAGTAAAGAGGGACTGGTGATTGCGGAGAGGGTTCCTTCATGTAATGCTAATCTCCAAGGAGTCACTCTGAGGGTTTCTCTTGGCACCTGGCATCCCAGCCCCATATTCCCTGTTCCTGAGGCCCCAAAAGTCCTCCCTGCATCTGCCATTCAACACCAAGGACCGTGTTCTCTGGAAAATAAATCTAATTTATGACAGTCCTAGGACCTGTCTCTGTGGGGGCCAGGTCAGGGGTGCTCAGGTTTGAGGTGATTGGAGGTCTCTGTCCCCTGGGTCTGAACAGGCCCCTGCTGCTCTGACCCTTCAAGTCCCGTTCTCTTCAGCAACAACCTTTGCTCCTGTGGGCATGGGGCAGGAGACAGGCAGGCATTGGACAAATATCTGTCAGTAACCACTGTGTGCCAGCCCTGTCCTAGGCACTGGGGATACAGATAATAAAACTCCCTGGTCTTCTGGAGCTACCTTTCTGGTGAGGAAGGGCAGACAAGAAAGTTTAGTTTGTCAGATGAGGAAAGGGCTTTGGAGAGAAATAAAGCAGGAAGGCAGGATTGGGGGACTATGGGGGGAATTGCAGCTTTGTGTGGTCCCGGGAGGGCTCACTAAGAAGGTGATACTTGACCTAAACCCCAGAGAGGGAGCCACGTGGACCCCCCTCCTGGCAGAGGGAGTGTCCTGTGCAAAGGTCCTGAGGTAGGAGTAGTTTTGGGCATGATCAGCGACCACTGGGGCCAGTGTAGCTGAAGCAGGATGAGTGAGGGGTGAGTGCTGGGAGGGGAGGCTGGAGAGGTGACAGGGGCAGACCATGTGGGGTGGGGCACAGTGACAGCTCTGGTTTTCCTGAGTGAGATGGAGCCACCGGAAGGCTCTAAGCAGAGGAGGGATTTGATCTGACTTAGGTTTCAGAGGCTCCCTCCCTGTTCTACCCTTTCTCTGGCCTTCTCTCCCACCTCAGAGTTTGGAACTCTACCCGCTGTCCCCTCCTGCTCCTGACCCATGCTGACATCAGTGCAGTATATTGGTCAGTAGCTTCCATGTGAGAGGTGGACAAGCTGGGTGTGAGTCCCGACACTTAACATTCAGGAGTTCTGTCTGTGTTGGTGAGCAGTTTGACCTTGCTGAGCCTGTTTCCTCATCTGTAAAATGGGAATTTAAGGACTTGGCAAGATGATGAGGTTGTTTAGTCACTCAGTCGTGTTCAACCCTTGGCGACCCCACGGACTATATATAACCTGCCAGGCTCCTCTGTCCATGGGATTCTCCAGGCAAGAATACTGGAGTGGGCTGCCATTCCCTTCATCCAGGGGATCTTCCCAACCCGGGGATCCAACCCGTCTCCTACACTGGCAGGTAGATTCTTGACCACTGAGCCACCTAGGCTAGGTCTAAACGTATCCAATACAGAGCTGCACGGATATCACATGCAAGAAAAGGGAATACAATTAACAGCCACTCTGATGCAAAAGAAGAAAATAACTTTCTTTTGGAGTAAGACAGGACAGAAGCTTCAACAGAGGCCGTGTGGATGGGAAGGAGACAGAATAATAGGACTTGAGACTGACTCTGGAGGAGGAAGTGGGGAAGAGATGAGACCAAGGCAACATCTAGGAGTTCAGCTTGGAGGACTCAGTGGGTGGTGAGGCCTTCGCTGGCAGAGGGACCTGGAAGGAGGATAACATGGGGTGACGTGGGGAGTGTACGATGTTCAGGTTCACTGAGGGGAATTTACTCCACTATTTATTAATAGTGTCTGATCTATTTGGCCTTATTCTTGACATCTTCTGGTTTTCTTTTTGTTTTTCTTCCTAAACTCACTTTTTCTTTTGTACTAGGGGTTACCCCTTCCCCTCCCCACCAACATACTGAAATTGCTATCAACATTAAAAATTAACCCATATCTACACCCTCCTACCCAAGCAGTTGAGGACTTTTGCATCGTTTCACTTTCCTGTGCTTCCCCAAGTCTTGTCTGGGTTCCCCCAGGCAACTAGGCTGGTCTCCCGGTATCCAGTTGGGGGTGGGGGCAGTTCCTCCTCACCGTCTCTGGTTCCCAGGAGGGGTGGGGGGCCTCTGTCTGGGTCCAAGCATGGCGGACGTGGCACCCAGGCTCAGGTTCCAGGGACAGCGTGTAGGAGAGATGGTCCTCAGAGCCTGTGTGCAGGGGTGCAGATGGGAGGGACGTAGGTATGATGGGAAAGGCCTCATGACCGCAGAATGAATCCCCATCCGTCCACCAGGCCCCCTTTCCCAGGACTGCCACACCCTGGGTCTTACCACAGCTGGCCTGGGGAACTGGAGTGGATGGGACAGGGGCTTCCGGGGGACTCGCATCGCCCTTGGCCCCTGGCCTCTTCTTACACTCCACCTTCACCTGGTCTCTGCAGTGTCTGTGGCAACACAGCCCACAGTCTGGGGGAGATTCAGAGGTTAGTGCCAGAGGCCCAGTCCACGTCCCCCTTCTTCCAGCTTGCAGGTCCTAGCTCCCCTTTCTCTACTGATGCTCCACTCACCCCGACAGCGGTAGCCTTGCTTGGTGACACCCCAAAGCTGGGAAGAGAGAGCAGAACAGGTTACCTAGGCTAGGACAGGGAGGGCTGTGATTGGGGTAGGGATAAGGGCGGTCTGGAGGAAACCATCCAGGTTTTGGAAGTTCCCAAGGCTAGAGGCCTATGTGGGGTCTGGGAGACTAAATGAATTTGGAAATTTATCCCAAGTTTGGAGAGTCACCTATGATATGAGAATCAGACAAAATCTGGAGTTAATAAAACTTAAATCCTATGGGCAGGGGTTGTGTCTGTTCTGTTTCCGCCTGTCCCCTTCCATCCCCGCCCAGAGTCTATAACTGTGCCTAGCACCCTGGAGGTGCTCATTGTTTATTCAGTGAATGAAAAAGTGAATTTGGAAAGCAATCCAAGGTTTGCGAATCAGTCTTGGTTTGGGAGTGAGAGATCTGTCCATTCCACAGATTGGAGGACAGATTTCCAAATCCAACTTGTTTTGGAAATCGTAGCGTTTGAATCATCTGAGGCCTAGAGACTTGGGAGCCTGATTCAGTTTGCAGATCATCTACCCATCCAGTCCAGTGGGTGGATGCTCAGTTGTATCTGACTCTTTGCAACCCCATGGACTGTAGCCCGCCAGACTCCTCTGTGGGATTTCCCAGGCAAGAATACTGGAGTGGGTTGCCATTTCCTCCTCCAGGGGATCTTCCCGACCCAGGGATTGAACTTGTGTCTCCAGTGACTCCTGCATTGGCAGGTGGATTCTTTACCTCTGTGCCACTTGGAAAGCCCTTATTATCCAGGGTTTGTCAATTATCCAGGATGGAGATTGGGATTTGGGCATTATCTAGACTTCAGAGTTACCCAGGGTGTAGGGAATATCCATTATTTAGGGTTTCTGTGAAGTATTTGTTGTTGAGTCGCTCAGTTGTTTCTGACTTTGTGACCCCACGAATTGAAGCACCAGGCTTCCCTGTGAAGTACGGGGACTATTTGAGGCTGGAGGATTTTCCTAAATATGGGGATTATCTGGGGCTTGGGGGTTGTGAGCGCCACAAGCAAGGGTTGGCTTTCCCAGCCCAGGCTGTGAACAGTTAGGGTGCTCCAGGAGGGGGCCCTCAGGGTGACGGTGGGCAGAATGCTCACGAAGCCACTGCAGCTGTCACAGAAGGTGGGCTTGCGGAAGGTGACCTCCTGGAAGGTGTGCAGGAAGGCCAGGCCCAGCTTGGAGCAAATGGCACTGGCCCGGAGCAGGTATCCTGTCAGCTCCTCACGGCTGAAGGAGCCACTCCTGGGGGAGAGACTGTACTTTAGCAGGCCTGGCCCTGTTCTCCCAGACCCAGGAGCCCTGGCTACCCCAGGTCCTCATCTTACGGGAACCCAGGAGTCGGGAGCACCTACCCCTGGCGGGGGGGTGGGTGAAGGCCGTGGCAGGCAAAGGGGAAGTTGCCTGAGAGTCGCTCAAAGTCCTCCTGAGAGATGGTGCCGCGGCCATCAGGGTCATAGTTCTTGAACACAGACTTGGGAGGAGCATGGGAAGGGAAGAGTAAGGTCAGATCAGGGTCTCCACCATTATCTTATTTTTTTAATCTTCTGTCCACACCCCACAGCATGTGCAATCTTAGTTCCTTGACCAGGGATCGAACCCGTGCCCCCTGCGTTGGCAGTGTGGAGTTGTAACCCTTGGACCACCAGGGAAGTCCCTGGGGTCCCCACAGTCTTAGATCCCTCCTCCGGCTCAGGGCTCCTCCTCACCTCCACCAGCTGCTCCACATGCCGACCCAGAGTGACCGTGTCAGGCTTGGGTGTCACACCAGGGGCCCACTCCACCACCAGGGGTGCCTTGAAGGGGGAGGGTGGCTGGGGCAGGGACAGAGGGGCACAGTTAGTCAGGGCAGAGGCTTGGGCTGGAGGTCAGAGGTCAGGGCTGGGGTCTCACCAGACTCTTGGGACAGCGGGGCTCCCGGGCATAGGAAAGCTCATAGATCTCGTCCTCCGTGTAGAAGAGATCCAGGGAAAGCTGGGGATGGGCAGGATGTTAAGGATCCTCTTTGTGTCCATCCTCCTCCCTGCAAGCTAGGACTGCCCGGACCCCCAATCTCCTCCTCTTTCCAAAACCCCTCTCTCCTGGGTCCTCCATGGTCCTTTCTCCCACTGAGCCCCCATTCACTGTCCATACTGCTGGCCTCCTAGTCCAGAAACACCATCTTCTCATTGAGGTTTTTTTGATCCTATTTAGAATTGCAAGCCTCTATCACTTTTCATTGTCTGTTTCTGCTTTAGTTTTCTCTATAGCACCTATTATCTAAAAGACCATATGATTTACTTATTTACTTTTTCACTGGCTATCTCCCCCACAAGGAAGTCAGCCCCACAAGACAGCAATTCCCCTCCCCCCCCGCCACCCCCCAATGCACACACTGCTGTGAGCCTAAGTGCCTAAAGTAATGCCTGGCTCACAGCTAGTGCTCAATAAATATTTGGGCTGATGGCCTCAGAGCCAGCAAAGCATAGCAGCTTAGGCATCAATCATCAGAGGACAGGACCAGCTTCAGAGGCAGGCCCCACATGTAGAAGGGCCTTCGGTTCATTTAAGGCCCTGCTGTCACCCTCTTGAAATTCTCAATAATTTCAAACAAGGAGCCCCACATTTTCAATTTGCTGGTGGTCCTGACTTAGGATTTGAAAGTCAACTTTTCAGTCTTTGACTACATGGTCCTCCAAATCCCAGTCTCTGTCAATTTATTGCTCTTTAGAAAGAAATCCTCTATCTTCCTATCTATCTATGTAAAACAAAATGTAGCCAGAACTGCACACTCGCAGTCTTGGGACATAGTGTGATGGTTAACATATGTTAACACTCATGTTCTGAAGCTGGCCTGCTGTGGGACAGGAGGCGAATGGCCTTACGTCTGTGGGCCTCAGTTTCCCAGTCTGTAGAATGGGTAAATAAGGATCCCTTCCTTGTAGGGGTGTGAGGATGGAATGAGGTGCTCTCTGGGTACTGTTTAACATGGTGTCTGGCACACAGAAAATGATTAATAACTTATTATCTTTTTGCTTAGATTCCTGAATATCTTATAGCTTGGAATTTTGATCTGTTGGTGTGAGAAGCTCAGAACCTTGAAGTTTAGGAGTACAAAAGCCCAAAGCAATGCTGGAGCTCAGATCAATGGAAGTTTGAGTTCCTTGGCGAATTGGGGGAAAAACACATTTTATTTGGCTGTGCCAGGTCTTAGTTGTGGCATGTGGGATCTTTAGTTGTGGTGTGCAAACTCTTAGTTGCAGCATGTGGGATCTAGTTCCCTGACCAGGGATCGAACCTGGGCCCTCCTGCATTGGGAGCTTGGAGTCTTAGCCACTGGACCATCAGGGAAGTCCCTCAAAATGCATTACTTATATAGAGCTCACTGTGTTCCAGATACTATTTTAAGTACTTTGTGTGAACTATATGAGTGATATTTACATGAATTATATTATTGATTCTTTTCAATCACTCTCTGAAGTAGGTCCTATTAGTATTCCCATTTTGCAGTTAAGGAAACTGAGGCTGAGGAGTTAAGTGACTTGCCTGAGTCACACAGGAGAAAACAAAAACAAAACTTACGAGTTCTGGCTTCAAAGCCCATGCATTCCAGTGCTATTCTACTATTCTGTCCTGAGCTTCATCCGCCAGGATCCTAAATCTCAGGGCCCTACAGGTGCAGTTTTGGGAGCTCAGCCGCGGCAGCTCAGGGCAGCTCACCGTGAGCAGGTGCAGAAGGTCCTCACTGGCACTGCCTGGGGGTTCCTGTCGCTGCAGGGCTGCCAGCTCCTGCAGCCGCAGGTAGAGACTGTTCAGTTTGGGCAGGTGCAGGCGGCCATCAGGCAACCTGTCAGGCTGCGCCTCGTTCAGGGCCACCAGATCCTTGAGGTGCACTCCCAGAACAGGCAGCCGGAAGGCCGTGCAGTCAGCCCAGGTGCGGCGGTAACGGGCGTAGTTGTTGTGGGCTGCCAGGAGCTCTGTCAGCTCCAGCAGGGCCTGTGTGGGAGGGGCATGGAATGGGGGAGGCTAGCTCTGTTCCCCCAGCTCCCTGAAGGGGAGTACCCACCAGCCTCTGGACCCCCAGGGGCCCAATGGCATCCTGGAACTCTCCCCAAGCCCCTCCCTGTCCCACACTGGCTTCAGCACTACCCAGACTGCTCTTTTTCTTGGGTTCCCATCTCATAAAGGCCCCACTATCTCCCATTCTCCAGGCCAGAGTGATTTTTCAAAAACCCAACTCTGATCATGGGTGCTGTCATCTTTCCTAACTCCCCACTGCCCTCTAGATAAAGGCCAGACACCTTAGCTGAACTTGCAAATGACAACAGGATCCTCCCTGCCCCCCACCCTGGGGCATCTCTAGCCTAATATCCTGCCATGTCCTGACCTCAGCCACACACCAGACTCATGGATGACGCACTCTCCTTAAGACACTTTAAAAAAAAAAAAAGACACTTTCAGGATACCCCCAACCCATGCTCCTCCCATGGGTGGCCCAAATGTTGGTATCCCTGGAGGCATCATTTCACTCTCCACCTAGACTGCAAGTTCTCTGCTAGCATCTCCTATCTGTCTCCCTCCAGTGCCGCTCAGGACCAGACACTCAGTAGAGAGAGGTCAGCACCATGGGTGAAGAGGGAGGAAGAGTGAGAGAGGAGGACAAAGCCTGGGGTCTGTCGGATTTGGAGAAGAAAGGTCTCCAGGTGGCTCCAGGGCTCCTGGGAAGGGGTGGAGGGGGTTGGGAAAAGTGTGGGCTCCAGGGTACTTGATCACTGGAACTTTGGGGAGGGAAGTGGGGGTTCACCTTGGTGCTGTCAGGGCTCAGGTGGGCATGGGAGTCCTTGAGTCTGGAGATGGCACTATGACAGAGGCCGCCTGTGACTGCCATCAGCGTGTTGAAATTGTGCAGCTGGAGGAGCTTCTAGGGAGAGAAGGTGATGCAGAAGTGGTGGGTACCACACGGAGGACAGGTAAATTGGGGGTTCAAGTGACAGCATCCCCCCAGCTGAGATGAAGTCTTAAGCATGTGGGGAGGGGTGCTATGTAGGCATCAGACAGGTGAGATGTGTCAGGCAGGGGTGGGCCGCAAGCAGGTATGTGGGCATTACCCGGGAGTCATGCAGATAATAGACTAATGTGAAGTCAGATGAAAATGGGGGGAGTCAGGCGAGTACGGGGAGTTGGACCGGTTTGGGGACTCAACAGGTCTGTGTCAGGCGTGGAGGATTCAGAGAGATGTTAGGGTGTCAGGCAAGTAGGCGGTCTCTGCCCTGGGAGTCAGGTGAAGAGGGGTAAGACGGCCTGTGCTCTGGGCGGGAGTTAGGGGCCGGGCAGAGGTGAATGGGGCTAGAGTGATACGGAGGGGTCAGGTAGATGAGAGACAGGTGCGGGGTCAGCCAGTCATCAGGAGCAATAGCCTCATCCTCCCCTTTTTCAAGTTTAAGAGCGGAGGTCGCTGGGGGGAGAAGGTGGGGCCAGGGAGAAATAAGATGCTCAGACTGAGGAGACCCCAGGTAGAGGCCAGAACCTCTAAGTCTAGCGGACCAAGGAGGGGAAGCAAGACGAGGAAAGACGCCAGAGGAAGGGCGTGGTCTGCGAGGAAGTACGCAAGGGGGCGCGGCCAGCTGGGGGAAGGAGGGCTTCCCTTTTCTCCAGAAGGGAGGGAACCTAGGAGGAGGGGGGAGGAGGGGGGGGGAGGAGGGCGCGGCGGGGCCTAGGGAGACCTGCAGTGATGGGACCGGATGCTGTCACTGTTCTGAAGAGGCAGCTGGGGCCTAGGGACCGGGGCAGGGGATGAGGCAAAGGTGGAGGCAAGAAAGAGCCTCCTCTTCCGTTGTCCTGGCGACAGAATATTTGGGCACAGGGCTTTGGTGACGGGGTCAGGACGAACGTCGTCACCTGCCACATCTGGGACCAAGGAGTGGGGCCATGGCGGGTTTACGTGGTGAAATCAAGGCCAGGGAAGAAGTGCCATCACAGTCCTGAGTTGGAACGATGGGACTGAGGCCTCTGGGGCATGGCCAGGGTGGGACGAGAGGCGGCAGGGCGGGGCCAGGAGATGGTGACGTCACAGCCCAAGAGCCCCTCGGGGCAGGTGTTCAGAAGGCGGGTCTCACCTGTGCCACGTGGATGAACTTGTCCAGCACCTGCGCCCGCTGTGCAGGCCCCGGACGGCTCAGCACCATGACCTGCACCCAGCGGGACACGCTGTTGCTGAGACCTACGGAGCCCTCCAGGGTCGGGCAGCCCCGCACAGAGCCCTGCAAAACGTAGTCCCGCAGGTCCTGGGGCTGGGGGAGAGGTGGGCGTCAGGGTGGGCCCTGGCGCTCAGGCCCTACCCCTCACACGCCCGTACACCAAGCAGTCACGACCTCCGATGTCCTAGCCAGGCCATCACATGTCACCATGGTCCCCTCTCATCTGAGGAGAAACGTTTAAGGAAAGCTGGGCACTATTCTGAGCCCTCTGTCATAGCCTTACAAGTTGATGAATTGAATATTATATGATTCCCATTTTACAGATGAGGTCATTGAGGCACAGAGGGGCTTAGTAATTTGCCCAGGGTCACACAGGCCCAAGTCACAATGGGAACCCAGTCTATTGCCCTCAACAGTATACCTGACTTGTGTACAGAAGAGGATACAGAACTAACTGCTATTTGTTCTGCACAAGGGGTCAACATTACATACCCACATCCACTGCAGTGTACAGTCAGGAAATTTTCACATTAAGGAGACAGGTCCCCACCTGCCCTCAAAATGACATCAAGATGGCAATAACTAAATACATACATAGTTTGAAGCATTTTAAATGATCATTTGAGTAGGTAAAATATGTCAAATTATGCCAATTTCAAGTGTTCAACTGGATGGCATTTACTCTAGATCAGGCACTGATTCTATGAAAATGAGTGTTAGTTGCTCAGTTGTGTCCAACTCTTTGTGACTCCATGGACTGAAGCCCGCCAGGATTCTCTGCCCATGGGATTCTCCAGGCAAGGATACTGGAGTGGGTTGTGGGTCCCTTCACCAGGGGAAATTCCCTACCCACGGATCGAGCCCGGGTCTCCTGCACTGCAGGTGGATTCTTTACCATCTGAGCCACCAGGTACCTATGGGGCAGGAACTAAGTCCCCCTTTTACAGAAAACAGGCCAAGGCACAGGGTATTTAAATGCTTCTCAAATAAATGAACAATTAATAAAAATATTTTGAGCACTTACTATGTGCCAGGCACTGTGACAAGCCTTTTAAAAATATTTATTTATTTGGCTGCACTGGTTCTTAGTTGCGGCATGTGAGATCTAGTTTCCTGACCAAGGATCGAACCTGAGCCCCCTGAATTGAAAGCAGAGTCTTAGCCGCTGGACCACCAGAGTAGTCCCCTGTGATGAGCACTTTTAAATGGACATATTAATTTCCCCAACAAGCCAATGAAATATTATGACCTCCTTTTTACACATGAGAAAACTGAGTCCCAGAGAGGCTGAGAAACTAATTCAAAGTCACACAGGTAGGAAGGCGCTGATGGGAGGTGAACCCTGGGGGCTCTGTACTCAGCCAGCTTAACTCATTTTCCTGTACCCTCTAGCACCCAAGTTTGACAGTTTGGGTCCTCTCAGTCCTGCCTGGCCCCAGCCTGGCCCCGCTCCACCCTACGCCATCTCCAGTTGGGAGGAGAGGGGTCCTTACTGTGATAGCCTGGAAGGACCGGAACTCCAGGTAAGTGAGGTGCTCTGCCAGCTCCCCAGTCTCCAGGTGGTCGAAAAGCAAGGACACTTTGCGCTTCTTGCCCAGGCCTGGGCTGCTCGTGGGGTGTGGGGGGCCTGGGCCACCCGGGCTCAGCCTGGGGGCAAAGAGAGGCAGGGTATTAGAGGGACTCAGGGTGGGAGGTGTCGGGGTGTCGGTGGGGAGGGGAAGGGGCTGACTCACCGACTGGAGAAGTCTCCTAGGCTCTGCTGGACTGAGTTACCCTCCTGCTCCACAGTGGCCCAGAAGCGGCCTATAACCTCTTCTAACTGGGGGTCCTGGTGCATCATCTCAGGGTGTTGGGTCAGCCAGTACCTGGGGGGTGGTTTAGAGGTGGTGGGATGGGGCTGGGGGGAGGGGCGCAGGTCTCTGACAGGGGTCTCGGGCTGAGGGATCTCTAGGTGCTGGGCTTGGGGGTGGTGACTCTAAATATGTACAGGGGGGTCTCTGGAAGGCCAGGGTTCAGAGAGACACCAGGCTGGGAGGAGATCTGGGAGTAGGACTGGGGGCCTCTTAGTACAGGCTGAGGGATCTATGGAGGATAGACTTGGCAATCTCTGGGAAGTGGTTTGAAAGCACAATAGTGGGGGTGGGTCTCAGGGACTAGGTTGGGGGACAAGGGGGTGAGATTTTGGGGTAACAGGGTGAGCGGAATCTTAGAAGCTAGGTGGGTACATGGGAGGTTTCAGGAATTTCAGGAATCTGAGCTGGAGGTCTTGGGGTACCAGCTGGGAAAGGGTCCATAGGATCTTGTCAGGGGTCTCTAAGAAGTGAGGGTTCTAAGGAGGAGAACTGGGAGGTTTTAGGAAACAAGCCAGGGGTTTCTCAGAAGTGGGATGTAGGGCAGTAGGACTGCATAGTCTCTGGGAAGTGTTTTTTTGGGTGGTGGCAGCACGGTGAAGCTCCTGGGTCATCATGGGCGTGGAGTCTTGGCCCAGGCCTACCTGACCAGGTGACAGATCTGCAGCCGTCTCAGCTCCTGCGTGCTCCCTGTGGCCTCCTGGTACTTGAGTTCCGGTCAAGGCTCAGTCATCCAGCATCTCAGACCTAACAGCTCACCCCGTCCCCACGGGCTCTCACGTCTCTGTCCTCCGCCCTCCACCCACTGCTTATGGCCCCGGGAGGATATAAGGTCAGCAGACGGGCAGCAAAGTGGGCAGAAGGCAGCACCCAGCTGTGCATGGCAAGTGCCATGTTGAGAACGTGGTCCCCGCGGCGCAGGCTGCCAGCCGAGTCTGCAGGCAGGAGAAGGGGACTCTGGGTCAGAATGGCCCCTGTGTGGACAGCCTGGTTCAAACCCCAGTTCTACCAGTGACTCCGTCTGTGAGCTCGGGCACACAACCTGGCCTCCTTGTGCTCCAGTTTCCTCGTCTGGACTGTGCATGGACCAACATCGTGCCTGGCAAGTCATGCTGAAGATGGAAATAAGAGTCAGACCCCCCCACCCCCACCCTGCCGCCCCATCCATGCAGGTCAGGAAAATGAAACACAGGTATCTCTTGTGTTCCTACTATTGAGATTCATTCCACATACTCCTGCTCCTGTTTTTGTACCCCTCAAATTGAGCCCGGAGAGAGGTGGGTGCTTGGCCCAAGCTCAGACTTGGGGGAGGCTGGCCAGGGACGGGGGAGACTCACCAAAGGACTGAATGCATTTCTCCAGCAGCTCATCTTCACTGCAGCCGCCCTCGTTCAGCATACCCAGAGCCATGGAAGCCATGACCTTGCTGATTTCCCGGGGGCTGGGGCATGTCTTGTGGCGGCGGGCCTGTCGGGGCCGGCCCCGCCCCCCTGTCTTGCCTGGGCATTCCTGGTGGGATTTCCTGTGGGAACATCCCCTGGGGATTCATAGGAGTACTTTCCTTCAGGCAGACCCCCAACATTCTTCTTGACCCCAAAGCCCCAAGGCATCCTGGGAGAAGCTTCCTAAAGGCAAGGGGCTGGCATTAGTCCTGACCTGCACTGGATCCACAGGAGAAAACCCCAGTACTCCAGATCATGGGAGCCATCTCCTACAGGCAAACTCCAAGGGAACCAGGGGGAAAAACCCTAAGGCTATCCTGATTCCCCCCCCCAGGGAATCATGGGAGAAGACCCCCCAGAACTAGTAAGGACCCATCAGGAATCATAAGACCTCTTCTCCACCGGCCACTGCCCCCAAATTCCCCTTGACTGTGTGGTCCCAAGACCTCATGAAAGAGACTTCCTGCTGGCAGATGGGTTACTCCAGACCTTCCAGGGAATCATGGAGAGAAGACCCCCCAGAACTATTCTTGTCCTCCCTAGGGGGAATCATGGAAGGTTCTGCCTTCAGTGCTGCTCCTCAGAATTCCTCTTTGCAGGGCTTCCCTGTTGGCTCAATGGATAAGAATCCACCTGCCAATGCAGGGGACATGAGTTTGATCCCTAGACCGGGAAGATTCCACATGCCATGGAGCAACTAAGCCTGTGTACCACAACTACTGAAGCCTATGCGCCTACAGCCCGGGTTCTGCAACGAGAGAAGCCACTACAATGAGAAGCCCGAGCACCCCAATGAAGAGTAGCCCCCTGCTTGCCACAACTAGAGAAAGCCGAGGCAAAAAAGCAATGAAGACCCAGTGCAGCTGAAAATAAATAAATTTAAATTATTGAATTTTAAAAATTGGAAAAAAAAACAGAAAAAAGAATTCCCCTTTGCCTTCCAACACCCACCCCTTGTCCCCTGAGCCCTCAGGAGGGAAGCAGACCCCTGAGATTTCATTTCTCTCTTCTCCCCCTCTCCGTGATCCCCACTAAGGTGACAGGCCCCTTCCCCAAGCCAGCCTTTCAGCAGGACTGGAGTCTCAGCTAGGAGCCTGGGTCTCTAGATTTGGAGCCTGGAGAGAAGATAGGGGTGCAACGTGGCCTCACCAGGGCTCTTCAGAGCTGGGCGCGGTCCCTCGGCTGCGGCAGCTTCAAGAAGTTTAAAAGCAGCCCTCACTCAGCACTTCGCCTCCCTGAGGCTCCTGTTCTAGCTGGGAGCGAGGGTAATGCGGAGACGGGGCTGGTGAGGGAAGGAGGGGCAGAATCCAGGCAGAAAGCCTTGGCTTCCACGGGAATCAGACAAAACTGGGTTGGGAGGCCTTCCCTGCTGGTCCAGCAGTAGTCTCTGTGCTTACACTGCCAGGGGCACAAGTTCAATCCCTGGTTAGGAAACTAACCTCCCACATGCCTTGAGGCAAAAAAAAAAAAACCCCAAAAGACTGGGTTGGAGAAATTTGTGCTGGCTGTGCAACTTTATGTTAATGACATCATTTCTTCAGACCTCAGTTTCCTCACGTGAAAAATGAAAGTCATCTTGGGACCTTTCCCAGGAATTTGTTATGAACATTCAATGCCCTGCTCTTCAAAAGTGCTAAATAAGGGGTTAAGTTTGCTAAGGCTGTTAAGTGGCCAGGGGTGGGAAAGTTAGATTTGAGACGCAGAGAGAGAATGTGATGGAGCAAACTGAAAGCCAGACTGGGCGGATGGGGGTGAACAGAAATTGGGAGACCCCCCCATAACAAGGGCACTGCTATGTCCCTGGAGCATCCTGAGGGCTCAGGAAATCAGTACTGAATGTTGTCAAGTAATAGCTGGCATTACTGAGCACCCACTGTGTACCGGGCAGGGAGGTAAACACCTATCTTCAGACCAGAGATTTTCAAAGGAGGTCCAATCCCAGCAGCATTACCTGGGAACTTGACATAAATAGAAATTCTCAGGCCCCACCTCAGACCTACGACGTCAGAAACCTTGGAGGTGAGCCCAGAAGCCTGTGTTTTAGAAGGCCTCCAGGTGGCTCTGATGTGTGCCCATGCTTGAGAACCACAGGTCTAGGCTGTACCACCGAGGGCTTATGAGCCTGTCTGAAGAGGGGCTATGATTGCTCAACTGACTGAAGAAGAAACTGAGGCACAGAGTGGGCAAGTGACTGACCTAGGGTCACACAGCCAGAGAATGAGGCAGCCAGGTCTCCACCACTAAACTCCTGTATATCATAGGGGAGGGGACCTTTTGCTATCAGAGACCAGCCGGGGGAGGAAGGAGAAGCTGCCCCAGCTAGGGATGCAGCCACCATTGCCCCTGTGAGGACAGGACGGCAAGTTTGTCCAGGTTATAGGAAGCCTATTCTAGAACCTGCAGGCATAACCAGCTGCTAGGCCCTTACCTTCTGACTGTTGCCCCCCACCTCCCCCGCCGTTGCATCGGGAGACAGCCAGGAGTCGCTTAAGAGGCAGGGAAGCCACCTTGCCCCTTGGCACACTCCCCTCCCCTAGGGTAGGGCCCTGCAGGAGTCTGGAGTTTCCAGTCCAGTGGGCAGCCAAGAAAACCCCCAGGAGGACAGAGACACCCAGCCTAGGGAGCCAGGATGATTGAGGGGCGTGAAGGGTGCAGGGGAGAATGGGGAGCCAGGATGATTGAGGGGCGTGAAGGGTGCAGGGGAGAATGGGCTCAGAGCAGCTTGAATTCCAGCAGAGCAAGGATAAGGCACAGCCGCCCGGGGCCAACAGCCCCAGCCTGAACTTTCTCTGGACACCCCGAAGCATCTTTCCACCTGACGCCCCCTGCTTCTGCGGCGGCTGCGAGAGTAGCTCGACCGTGCCCCCCCTCCTCAGAACCTCCCCGACCCTCCCTGCAGCCGGAGAGAGACCCAGGGGCTTAGGGAGCTCCTGGTCTCCTTGGGGAGGGTCCTCTCACCTCTTGCTGTCTTTCCTGTTCATGCTTCCTGGGGGGGGAGGGGGTCTTATAAGAGTGAGGCTCAGCTCCTCCCCCCTCACCACGCTCCAGCTTCTTAGCCCCTTGGGAGCTGGGGCCTCCTCGGCGGCGCTTGGGAGGGAAAGAGGAACTGCCCCTCCCCACCCAGCCCCAGGCCAGGGGGAAGGAAGAGGCTGGGGAGAGACCAAAGGTCCCCCCTCCCCCCACTTGGGGATCCCTTCAGGCTGAGGTTTCCGGTGCTGCCGGCCCCCACCCCCAATCACCCGGCGGGCTCTATCTCCCCCATCTTTCTATCTCCAGACCCGTGATTCTCTGTTCTGTCACTGTCATGCTTCAATAAAAGCCCTTTTCAAAGAAAATATGCCTAATATGACACATTTATGTACACACACTCGAAAGAAAAGTCTGTATTTCTGTAAGGACATACTTACGTCTAACAATGCACAGAAGATTGGAAAGTCACAAGACATGGTATTTTGTGTATTTCTTCTTCTGTTTCTTTTATTTCTAGCTTAGTTTTAATGCCATTTATGCCCCCAGAAAACATTTTCACTCTATTCCTTTTATCATAAGAAAACCTCATGTAGCACCTACTGTATGCCTCACACTTGTAAGGCACTGTTATATTAACTCATTTAATTCTCACACAATCTTAAAGACTGTTATTATCAAAACATTGCAAATGAAAGCTAACCCCCTGGAAGCCCCCACCCCATCCCACTGTCCCTCTTAGGCAGGGCTGACACATGGTTGGCTTTCATCTGACCTTTTGGCCTCCAGTTTGTTTAAATACATAGAAACATGCTCATAGAAACAGACTTTTCTTTTGAGTATGTGTGCTTTTTTTTTCGTTTACCTAAATGTGTCATGCTTGACATATTTTTAAATGGAAGTACGAAAAAGAGTCAAATCGTAAGTGTTTAGGTTGCTGAATGGTGACAAACTGGACATGTCCATGTGACACAAATCAAGGGAGAGAATGTTTCTGTTTCCCATAAGCCCCCTTGTGTTACCAGCAGCCTAATTTCTAGCAAAGTGGTTTTGCCTGGTTTTGAGCTATATATATAAACTGCATCAACTATTGTGTCTGGCTTCCTTCATTTAACCCGGTGTCTTTGTGATTCTTCTGTATTATATTTAGTTGTAGCTCATTATTTTGGTTGCTGTATAGTCTTCCATCATGTGATTAGTTCATGATCTATTGATCGGTTTTTCTGTCATGGACATTTTAGTTGTTTCCAGTTTGGGGCTGCTGTGAATAATGTTTCTGTGACCATTCCATCCCCTGTCTTTTGGTGAACGAAGCAGTGCGTAGTTCTGTAGTGTAGATACCCAGGAGTGGCGTAGTAGCTGCAGCATGATTCTGCCAAACCTAGTAAGTGAGTCCATTCAACCAAAGCTCTCATATAAGTCTATTTTTAAAAATATTTATTTATTTGGCTGCACCAGGTCCTAGGTTGAGGCATGTGGAGTCTAGTCCCCTGACCGGGGATGGAACCCAGGCCCCTGCATAGGGAGTGCAGAGTTCTAACTATTGGACCACCAAGGAAGTTCCTAGAAGTCTATTTTTGTTCCTTTCTTTTTTCCACCGAGAGAAGTCACCATGGATTTTTTTTTTTTTTTTCCCAGACTGGAACATTTAGACAAGTACAGAGTACATTCTCTTTAACTTTTCCATTCCATGCCATGCGATACGGTTTCAGACCCTCTCCACCTTTTTCCTCCTCCTGCATTTTCTCTTCTCTCTCCTCTAATCTCAAGGATGCTCTCTGTGATGCGCTGTTTGTGACTCTCAGCCAATCTCCTCGGCACCTGCTTCACACAAGGTGATGTAACGGCCCTGACTGAACTGAGCTCAGCGTGAGAAAGTGTCTCCAGGCCTCCTGGACTCAAAGGAGGATCAAGGAGTGAGATCAGAAAGCTCTGGGCACTGGTATATATGTGTACCACCCCCATGGCCCTTGGGGATGGTTAATACCAGCAATAAAACCAGCAACCACAAAGGAAAAGACTTCTCAAGCAAACCACAAAAAACTTATGAGGCAGAAAAAGGGTGCATTTAATAACATCCAAATAAAGATTTCTTTTAATTGAGGACACTGTGGGACAAATATCAAATGACAGAGAGGAAAAACTATATTTAAAATGTCTGAAATCAATGAGAGGAGCTTCCCTGGTGGTCTGGTAGTTAAGAATCCACCTTCTAATGCAGGGGACGCCGATTTGATCCCTGGTTAGGGAACTAAGATCTCACATTCTGTGGAGCAACTAAACCTGCATACTGCAACCACTGAGCCTGTGTGCTCTAGGGCCCATGCGCCACAACTAGAAAAAGCCCGCACGCTGCAACAAAGACCCAGCAAAGCCAAAAATAAAAAAGTAAAATCAATGAGAAGAATATCCAGAATGTATAAAAAAAGGAACAGTTGCAAGTCAGCAAGAGAAAAAGACAGCCACTCTGATAGAAAACAGGGCAAAGAGGATGAGCGGTGAGGAGGAGACCCAAAACTCTGACAGGCACCTGAGCAGATGCTAGAAATTATTGGTAAGGGATCAGGGAAGGGCACATTGAAAGAACAGTGAGTCATCCTGTCCATCTGGCAAAAATTAAGACTTGGAAAAATGCCAAGTAGAGGTTGAGACTGTGAGGACTTGGGGACCCTCCTGTACTGACAAGCAGCCAGCCCTTCCTTAGGGCCACTTGGCACTGAAAGTGAAAGTGTTAGTCATTCGGTTGTGTCCGACTCTTTTCGTCCCCATGAACTTCAGCCCGCCAAGCTCCTCTGTTCATAGGATTCTCCAGGCAAGAGTACTGGAGTGGGTTGCCATTCCCTTCTCCAGGGGATCTTCCCGACCCAGGGATTGAACCCGGATCTCCTGCATTGCAGGCAGATTCTTTACCACCTGAGCCACCAGGGAAGCCCCAGCTTGGCAATACAGTCAAATCAAATGTGTGCATGGAACTGTGACCCCTCACTTAGCTCCTGGATGTGCATCCCTCGGTTCCACTTGGGGACATATACTAGGATGTTCACCGCAATGTTATTTGGGGAGAGCTGGGGGCAACCTGACCCACTCCAGTGTTCTTGCCTGGAGAATCCCAGGGACGGGGGAGCCTGGTGGGCTGCTGTCTATGGGGCTGCACAGAGTCGGACACGACTGAAGCGACGCAGCAGCAGCAGCAGCAGCAGGGGGCAACCTGGGTGTTACCTCCCCAGATGAGAGGTTGAATAAACAGAGGCAGACAGTCACCAGAAGGGCCTGCAAAACTCCCACAGGCATAGACAAGGTGTCCAGGGAACAACATGGGTGGGTCCTAAAACAAGTAGTGATGACTAACAGGAGAAAGAAATGCTATTAATATCTTATGATATAATGCCCAATGACACAGAATAATTTCTGTTATATACACAATTCTAAGGAAAAACTTAGATACTTAATATACAAGTGTGCATTATATAGTGTATAATAGATAAACATATGATTGGATAGCATAATTATATTAGCCTAAATATCTAATTATATAATTATGCATTATATCATCCAACGATGTGGTACAAGCTTGTGCGCCATATAGTACAGCTGTATCAATAAATCTGTATTTAACTGTGTAACATGTAGCAGTCCATTATACACAACTCTCTAGGTATCAATATAATATTACTGAACTGCAAGATATTGTTTTGTATAGCTTAATATATACCATTTCATTGTAATAATAATAATAATTTGTTTTTGGTTGCACCATATGGCATGTGGGATTTTAATTCGCTGACCGGGCATCGAACTTGTGCCCCCTGCAGTGAAAGTGCAGAGTCCTAACCACTGGACCACCAGGGAAGTCCCAAGAATAATTTTCTAAAAGTATTTATTTATTTGGCTGCACTGGGTCTTAGTTCCAGCACACAGAACCTTTTAGTTCAGGCATGCAAACTCTTGGATGTGGCATGTGGGATCTAGTTCCCCAACCAGGGATCAAACCCTGGGCGCCCTGTATTGGGAGCACAACGCCTTAGCTACTGGACCATCAGGGAAACCCCCAATAATAATTTTAATAGCTCCCTATATCAATCAGTTACCATGTGGTAGGCTCTAATTGGTTTCCTCATGGAATCTTCACAATCCTAGAAGGAGGGGACTATCCCAAATTAATCTAGTGAACAGAGGAAGAAACTGAGGCCCAGAGGCAAGAAGTTAACTGCCCAGCAGGAGGCCCAGGTGTGTGTGGCATCCTGCTTTGGGACTTTAACCCCCACAGGAGCAGGAAGGAGCTGGTTGCCCCTCTCAGGTTCCCCAACTTACAAAGCCCAGGACACTCATCTGCATAAAGGGTGGCCCAACTAGTGGCCATAGGTGGCTCTGGCAGCCCCTGGGGAGATGAGGATTAGTATTCTGGGGGGTGTAGCCTGGCCCTGCTAAAGTGACTTTTTGTTATAACTAAGAGATTTTATGCAAATATAGAGACAGTATAGTAAAGTGGTTAAGAACCCTGGCTCTGGGTTCAAATCCCTGGCTCAGCCTCTGTGTGACCTTGGGCAGGTTGCTCTACCTGTCTGTGCTCAGGCTTATCTGGAAAATGAGCACCATAAAAGTACTGACTTCCCAAGATTATTGTGAGAACTACAGTCATCACTCAGCAAATGCAGGGGCTTGGTTCCCAGACCCCCTTGGATACCAAAATCTGTCCCATTCATATAAATGGTGTAATATTTGCGTGTAACATACATACATCCTCTGGCAACATTTAAATAATCTTTGTGAGTGTGTGCTAAGTCGTTTCAGTCATATCTGACTCTTTGCAACCCTATGAACTGTAGCTCACCAGGCTCCTCTGTCCGTGGGATTCTCTAGGCAAGAATACTAGAGTGGGTTGCCATGCCCTCCTCCAGGGAATCTTCCCAACCCAGAGATCGAACCCAAGTCTCTTATGTCTCCTGCATTGGCAGGCAGATTCTTTACCACTAGCACCACCTGGGAAGCCCAAATCATCTTTAGATTACTTATAATACCTAACACAGTGTAAATGCTATGTAAATAGTTGTACATACAATGTAAATGCTATGGAAAAGGTTGCGGACCTGTGCCAAATTCAAGTTTTGCTTTTCGGAAACTTCTTGAATTTAAATGCATGCTCAGTCTCTTCAGTCATGTCCGACTCTGTGCAACCCTATGGACTGTAGCCTGCCAGGTTCTTCTGTCCATGGGATTCTCCAAGGCAAGAATACTGGAGTGAGTTGCCATGCCCTCCTCCAGGAGATCTTCCTAATGCAGGAATTGAACCCACTGAGTCTCCTACATCTGCATCACAGGTGGATTCTTTACCGCTGAGCCACCCAGGAAGCCCTGAATTATATATATATATATATATATATATATAAAATTTAAATATATGTATATAATTTATATACAGTTGGTTGAATCTTCAAATAGGAAACTCACAGATATGGGGGGCAGCTGTACCTCATTTATTTAGGTCGTGTCCTTAAAACCATACATGGCAAGGACCACACATGTTTAATTTCCCCTCTAAACAATGTAAATAATGACAGGATTGTTGTGAGAACTAACAAATGACATGCAGTGAAGAGGTCCTAGCTCAGGGCCAGCAATGCAACAGGTGCAGGAAAGACATCTGCTATGGCTAGGACTCCTTCCTCATCAGTTTTTATAATAGTGATGAAGATAATTTTCCTTGTATAGGTAGTTTTTAAATACAATTTTAAAGATTATTTCCATTTACAGTTATTACAAAATATTAGCTATATTCCCCATGTTGTATACTGTCCTTGAGCCTGTCTTGCACCCAACAGTTAGTACCTCCTCCTCCCCGCCCCTTTATTGCCCCTCCCCCTACTAGTAGCCACTAGTTTGCTCTCTGTATTTGTGAACCTTCTTTTTTGTTATATTCACTAGCTTGTCGTATTTTTTAGGTTACACATGTAAGTGATATCATGCAATATTTGTCTTTGTCTGATTTATTTTGCTTAGCATGCTGCTGCTAAGTTGCTTCAGTCGTGTCCAACTCTGTGCGACCCCATAGACGGCAGCCCATCAGGCTCCTCCATCCCTGGGATTCTCCAGGCAAGAACACTGGAGTGGGTTGCTGTTTCATTCGCTTAGCATAATGCCATCCAAATCCATCCATGTTGCTTCAAATGGCAAAATTTCATTCTTTTTTATGACTGAATAGTATTCCATTGTGTATATGTACCGCATCTTCTTTATACATTCATCTGATGACGGATATTTAGGTTGCTTCCATCTCTTGGCAATTGTAAATAATGCTATGAATACTAGGTGCATGTATTTTTTTGAATTAGCGTTTTTTGCTTTTTTTGGATACAAACCCAGGAGTGGAATTGCTGGGTCATATGGTGGTTCTATTTTTAGTTTTTAAAAGAAACTTCCATACTATTTTCCATATCAGCTTCACATG